GCCGCGTCTCAAAGTTTTTTCCCGCTGGTTCTTTCGCTTTTCTCGCTCGCTTCTCTCAGTACGCACGCATTGCTCTTATTGCTCGGTTTGCGCAGGCCTCCCTAGCTCCATCTGCCTTCCTCCGTGAGTGTAACACGCGTGCGCAGCAGCCGAAGGTGCACCACAGGGGAGACGACAGAACCGATACCCCATTACGCGTACTTCGTTTATTTTGCGGCTTTGCACGTTACAGATCTTACTGTAATATTCCTTTGTACGTACAGCGGCGGGATTCCCTCTCATTATACTTTTTCTCGCGCCGACATTATACGGTGCGCGCTCTATCCCCCTCCTCGTTGCTCGTCGTTCTTCCTCACTGCCATGTGTCTTGTTTCGTCTCTCCCTTTCTCGTTTCTCGCTCGTTTGTCTCCCTTCCTCACGTGCAATTCCCTTAAACTCCTCTCCTCCCCACACCTCGCAAGACTCTCTTGGTTTTACGATACGCACGCTGTAATCCTGCGGCACGCCGTGTGCCGATTCCAAAAGAAAAGCAGCGAGACTGTGAGATCCTGCGCGCAGCCAGCTCGGTTTCAATCTGCGTACATTCCATTTAAGATGAACGCTTTTTGCCGCCTCTACGGCCCCGTCGATTTACGCATCTGGATGGAGGGCGGGAGCGGTGAAGGAAAAAAAGAAGGAAATTCGTACCCTGTACCATAGGTGGCGTCGATCCCCTTCGCGCGTTTCCCGCCACCTAACACACAGCCTGAGAAGCTTAATTGGGAGAATTTACGCGGTGATTTCAAGCCTCACTTGGATTGCGTGTTATCGATGATGGGAATCTTGTAGATGTTCGCGTCGATTTTACCGTATCAGTTCCGGAACGTTGTGAAACGCGGTTGCTCGTGTAAATGTTATGTAGGTTGATGCCTCACGATGCTTGTTGGCTAGTTATCGCATGGTTAAACAGGACTTTGTATATTTCTGAATTATAATAATAAAATTATTGGGGATAATTGAGTGAGAGGTGAATTTATTAAAATCTATATTGTATGCATGTGTAACATGAAAATTTAGCCTAATATGAAGGCACACTTTTTATACATTCGTATTATATGAAAATAGAATAAAAAATTGATTGCTACTTGAGTACTATATTATCAAATAATTAATAACTTAATAATAGCAACGTTAGTCACATTTTTAACTGATGATATAGAAATTAAACAAACTCAAAGGTAATAAATTCCTCGTACAAAAATCAATTGAGTTCCTTACAATTTTCACTTTACCAAGCACCGCCACTCCCTTTCGTCGTTCATAAGACAAAGCCGTCCCACTGCAATAGGTTCCTCCTTCATGCCAAAAAGAGCCCGGTCGGACGAAGCAACAGAAAATTCGCGGGGTTAAAAGGGGTGTCGGTTGACGTCGTAAATCGCCTCTCCCCTGGATTTATGCGTAATCTACGCTGACCCACGGCGGACGGTTTAATGTTGCAGAGTTATGCGTCGAGGATGAACAGGCCTCGTACGCTCGCGTTTGCAACACTGTTATATACAAAACACCGCCTCTAAATACGCACGTACACGCTTGAAAACACGCATGAAGAGCACGCGTGCACACCATTGAAAGAACACTATCTTACATAAACGCTCATACACATTCTGTCACTACACATACACGCAAATACGTATCCACGTCGAAACATAACCTAACATACGAACCATTTTACGTCAAATCGTAATACCATCATAAATAATATTTCTTCAATATTTCAAAAGTTGCTTTATATATATTTGCAAAAGGCATACTTTCTACTTTAAAACGATTACAAGCAAATTAAAATGACTAAATACCGCGAGTGAAATGCGTAGTTCTCGACAGACTTCGTCAAACTCTTCAGAACCTTAACATTAAAAATCTCCAAAATCATTTCAAATATAAGACTAACATTTTACACACTTTAGTTTATCCAGGGTACCATTAAACATATCAATTTAAAAAAGAAACACCAATTACCACTACAATTCTCGTAGCATTTGACGTGAACTGGCTAATATGCGTAGAACTCGAGCGCGTGCGCATTGGAGGGGTGGATGGCAAGTCACGACGTGTCGGTGCGTGCGAGCGAGCAGAACGCGTGCGCGAGGCCCTGCAGCCCAGACCTAGCCCAATCTCGACGGCCCACGCCAGTCTCTGCGAGGGAGTAGGCGCGTATAACGCGTTCTCCGATGAAGTCAGAGAGAAGGTTGACGAACGAACGAGAGAAGAGAAGAATGAACGGAGCGGGAAGGAAACTGGGAGAAGAAGAAGAACAGTGTTCCTTGGTGCTATAGGAGTTAGGGCGGTGCGTGGGTCACAATGCCCGCAGGGTACAGAACCCCTGCTCTTTTCTTCTTTCTCCTTTTTCCTCCTCTTCCTTTTCTTTCTTGGTCGTCGTCGTCGTCGTCGTCGTCCTGGTCGTCCTCAGGCCCGTCGTCGTCTTCGTCGGTCGGACGGTCGGTCGGTTCCGCGACTCGTTATGGAAAGCATACGGGATATTGTTGCTCGTATATATGGATAGTACGAGGGAAGCGCGCCGTGCTTGTACTATGCAGATGATTCCGCGATATGGGCTATTCATTGTGAGTCATTTAAGAGTTTATGCGGTGGGTATGGGCCGCGGCCGCGTACGCGCGATATGTTATTATATTGCGTATCGAAAGGTCCGCTAGTAACGCATGCACCGCTGCCTGATCGTAGCTCGCGGTCCTTCGCGCCCGTCTACACTGCGCAACATAGTCTGCGCACTCCCTTTTGCTAGAATATATTATATAATTTGTCATAGAAGAATGTACCCGCAATACCTTCGCGAAAATTTGTCTATCGTAAAAATAATACGCATAGATGGAAAGTACACGTAAATGCTATTACGTATGTATTTAATAATGGTTGCATGAACGTGATCAACATTGTGGCGAATCTAAAGATTCATTCTTGTACTGCGACGTAGACTACGTATTTGCGTGACAGATTATACAAGTGCATGTGTAGCGTCCGAATGGGCGCGAATCTAGGAACGTGCACAATATTTATTATGCATTATAAACGGATGAGCTTTGTCACAGAATGTATGCTGACGAGTATTTATCGCACTATTACTGTACTAAGTCTAACCTAGTGGACAAAGTAACTTCTATTTCATGCAGAAAATAATAACTGGTCTGGTCATTGAGGTTAGGGTTCGTAAATGCGTAAATAGCTAGAATAATATTACTTCGACCTAAAGTTTCTTGCATATTATTGTTAAAGCTTAGGTACATATTTGACTGTTCTAATAACCTACGTTAATTATTAATCCGATAAAAAACAATTAGCACAACTAGAACCTAAGGAGCTAAGATTCATAAAACAGATACTCAGGAAAAAGAAAACGTTTGCATAATTCGACTTAGATGAACAATTTTAAAAATTACCTAATTATGCAGGGGACAAACAATCGATATCACCTTTAAACGCAAAATTTCAAAGCAGTTTACAACACCGTTACGAAAATGCACTTATTCCTCAACAACTATCCATCACACAAATAGCTTTAGAACTATAGTATCATGGTAAAAGTAATAGAGCATCAAGTTCGCATAATCGGGCCGGATTATGCAATTTCAGAGGCAATCGAACAGGATTAGCCTAAGCTAGGGAGAACAGCCGAGGAATCACAACATATTTCTTGCTCCTCGAAAATTATGCTCCTCCATGATGTGAACGTTTCCATGGAACAGGAACAACAGATAGAGCAGACGCTCTTATATACCATAGTGGCTCTTTTGCAGAGTATCGATGAATAAACAGGCAGAGTTGCGATAAAACGCCCGGAGCTGTCCGTGGCCGGCGCGTTATGCATGCGAGAGAGCAAGGGTAAATGACGGAGGTGGCAGCGTTGATGATGGTGGTGATGCAAAACATGATAATAATAATGACGACGTAGACGTCGTCGGGAATGAAACGGACACGCGTCTACCCGCGTTTCTTCGAGTTTTATACAACCTAGACACTCAGCTTAGCGAAATGAAAAGTCGCTGAGGCTCGATGATTGGAACACTTGATGGTGCATTTTATTTGTTTTATTTTATTTTTTTCAACAGGAATATCCTACTTTAAACGAACCATTTTAAGGTTATGTTTGAAAATTCTTTATGGAAACATAATAAGGCATAACATTCAAGTTTTTACATATACATATTTGTTTGATATTCTATCTACTTAACACTTTAACTCAAATAGTAAGTAGCTGTTTAACTTACGAAATTGTTATTTTCAGTTAATTTCTTTAACCCTCAAATTTTGCGAATAAAGTGGACTAGCGAATTATAAGAGTAGAGAAAGTCGAACCTTCCAGTGCTACCAATCGTTGAATCAAGGTATCTATACCGCCCACGTGATTCACCTCTGAACGAATTACTACAGCAGTGGATTCAATTTGCTGTGTTCTCTGGCTGGCCGCTGTTGCACCTTAATGCTCCTCGTAAATATCTTGGAAAAAGGAGACCGTTTATTTATAACTTTTGTTTCTGAATGATTGAATGTATTACTAACAAACACCTCACTTTCAATCTACTTTAGATATTCTATTTGTATAAATCTTAATTTCACTGCACATTGACTATCTTAGTAATTTATACAGAGGTATAAATCTTCACTGAAAAATTGAAATTTTATATAATTCTTGTATTGTTGAAGTAAAAGAAGATTGATATGAGATGTTTAATCCAGTTATTGTTAATTGTTGCTATTTCATGCTCTCTTTGTTAGGTGGATATTGGGATTAATAATTAATATCGAAACATTAAATTCCATATATGTATGTATCAAAAACTATAAAAATAATAAAGCGTATAGATAAGAAATTAATTGATAATACAGTAGTAGCTAGCAAAAAAACATATCATATAGACTTGAGACTGTGAACATAGACACCATGTAAGAAACACGAATTCTTGGAGGTCGGTGCATGAAAATATATTTTTCATATCTGTTTGTAGGAGGAATACAGCCAACGCAGACGCCTATCTACTCCCAGCGGCAGTCCCAGTCCACCCAGGCCGACAAGGCTGTCAAGATCTACGGGTACACTCACCAGAGAAGAGGAATCCTTTTGCGAGTCGAGCAACACCCTCACTAGGGAGAATCAGGGACAAGAAGCTGAGAGGAAGGGCTGGTTTAAGTCTTTGTCTAGGAAGAACAAGTCCAATATCAAAGTAAATTTCAATTTTCACAAGACACATTCCTCTTTCTATTTGAAAGAATCATTCTCTTGTGAAAATATTATAAATGAACTATTCAGATTGTATAATAGAACGAGAACAAAAGTGATCATGCATAATCAGGAAAATTTAGTTTCTTATGAATTAAGTATTATGGGAATATCATAGGAATTTCAATAATAATTCATTATTGAGAAATATTTTAATAACTATGGTTCTAATAAAGAAGGAGCAATAAAATGCTGTATATAACTCAATTTTCAAGACGGTAGAATTGTGTTAGTCTGATTCTAAGATACAGAATAATTTCTGGGTATACATTTGATGGATCGAGAAATAGGGTTTTAGAATACCATATTCACCGTCATTAGTTTCTTTGAAAATGTATCAATTTCGTGTTTCTACATGAAGTTGGAATTACCTTCTCGAGATAATACTGTACTATAGTAGATTTTGACGAACAATAGAAAACTCGTACAAAAGTAGAAGATACCAAGAAAGCGGCGTTGGTTGTGGTGGTTAAAGTGTCTAGCCAATGACGTTATCTATGTAACCTGAAAATCGCAGGTTCGAATCCTGACGCCACAAAACAATTCTTTTTTCTCTAATTCGACTTCCCTTTTCATATAGAATCGACGAAGGCACCTCATTTCGAGATCTATCACTTTCCGCAAAATGAAACGAAACCAAAAATTTCCCCTCCCCTACCGTATCCAATACTGTGGGATTCCCCTGTATATTATGATTTATACACGATCATCTTTCTACACTTTACACCCCTAAAAACGGGGAGAGACTGTGTGTATCACCTTTCACAACGAACAAGAAAAAAGAAGGGGGTTGAACCGTTCTTCCAGAGCGAAGAGAGTATATACAAGGCAAAGTGTAGATCATTTTTGCGAGGTTGCATCCGATAACGAGCGGACGGATCGTGGGTCCGGTTATCGGGTTTGCGGCGAGCCAAGTGAGCCAGCCGACCGGTGCATTCATCAGTCAGCACAGGTCGCTACGGAGCGGAGCCATTAGGCCAGTACAACCTCCAATTACCAGTTTGATTAAATGCTTAACTAACTCCGCGCTCTGTGGTTTAATTTAATCGCGAGATTAAGTGCCGATCAGGGGGCTGCCTAGCTTTAACCATCGTCCGCGGAATAATCTCTGTGTCAGGCACCGATTCCGATCCGTTCTCTAAGCCGCGCTTCGATAGGTCGACTCCGCTCCGCCGTTCGAGATGATTGCGTGCGCGTGAATCTCGCCGTGGACGATGATCTATCGGGGATGAACGGATGAGAGAGGAACGAGGGGGAGGATGATCATGACTCATGAAGGCGCCACGAATGGAAACGAGCGGGAACCAAAGGATTTTTCTCGTTCAACCGAAGAATACACCTTTGTGCTCGGCTTTATTGTATTTCGTGTCTAGCCTTAGTGTGTAGGCTATACCGAATCGTTGTGTGTCTTTCTTTCTGCTTCAATTTTTTTTTTGTTTTTCTTTTCGTCGAAAGTTTGTCGTTTCTTTCTCTCTGCGAAGAAGACAGAGTATACTTTTTGTCTTGGACGGTTCTCTGGTCCGCGATTCGAGGAAGGATGTTTTCTACTCGAAATACAGTAGTGCACACATCCCGCAGTCGGGAGCGAATGCGGGCGCTTAAGTGGGTAGGTGACTTCTGCAAATTTAACTAAAGAAAAGAGAGAAGTCTGAGTAGGATACCGATATATCAAGTGTCAGTTGTTCACATTCAGGAGTCGATATCGAATTACTTTGTTTCACACGGTATGCTCGAACTCCACTCCGAAGTCCCATTTCCAAGAATTAGTGGGAATAGCGACGGACGCTTATGTGCGCACTACTGTATCTGGTTTGTCCCTTTTGAAATTTTCTAAGAGGCTATAGTTAAACGTAGGAGGTGTATAAAAGTACACTTATCTTTGTCGATTTTTTTTTTTTCTAGAAAAGTAAATTTCGTTGGAAGTGTTGGAAAGTAACAATGATACCAGCTACTCTTATGAAACGTGTTCTCTAAGATATTTATTTTGATTTGTTTATTTAAATTTTAAAGGGAAAAATAATCCTTTTGGTGTACAAAGATAAATGAGCATTACCGGTTCAAGACGTGGATGATGGATCTTCTAAAAATTGTGCTAAGAGTTGGCAAAAAAGTCAAGGAACTGACAAAAGGTGTTAGACATCGTAGAAAAGTGGTTGAGAATCACCACAGTATAAGTATTGTTTAATTGAAGAAAAGAGAAATGAACTTTTTAAATAGATGAACTGAAAAGATGATTTTTACATGATCCGACTAGTCACTTGAAGTTGAGAATACCAAAGAAATGATTTGAAAGCAAATTGAGATTAAATTAAGAAGGAAGTGTTATTATTTCATCGTTTGTTCATGTTGCTGTTGCTTATTTGTATTTGATGTTTGTTATTCCAGGCGGTGGACAAAAAGCCTAGGATACCAGAAAGCGAGATTTTGACCACCGGAACTGAGGACGAGGAAGCCTCGTCCGCACCCGAACGAGTCTCTGTGCAGAAGAACTTGCGCTTCTTCGGAGACACGGATCAGGAGTCCGTTTCGTCCAATAGAAATCGCAGGTGATTTAGAAATCACTTGATATCATAAATATCGAATCAGATTTACATATCGAAATCAGGATAAATATAATAAAGCCCAGTACTTTCTTTTGATGACAATTTCGTTTCAACTTTTCGTGCTACTTGTAAATAATGTAACATAAGTTATAAAGCATACGGGAAGTAGCTTGTAGCGTTGATTTCTCGGAAAGTAATTCAGTTTGTTCGTAGCTCTAAGTTCGTTTATTTACTACGCTGTGCAAACATCAAACATAAAAAAAGTAAGAATTTGAAATAAATCGAAGCTCACCCTTTTTATACAAGTAGGTTGAATCGATACTAAATTACAATAATTATAATGATAAATAAATGAATATTAAAAAACTGATTATTTTACATGTAATATTTATATACATATATATTTTAGGAACAAACGAGACGACCATGCCAGTTCAGGGCGTGATGTTACGAATTCCAGCCGCCACACTTTGGGCATTCTATCGCCACCCCGGAAACCACCGAGGCTCGCCGAGAGCGCGTTGTCTTCCGGTGAGAGTACAACGGGGGATAGCAGTCAACAGAGTCAGAACTCTCAACGGTCGCAAAGATCTGTAGTATACCTCCACGCTGCTACAGGTAAGTTGAAAAAGTATGGGTTTAATCGTTTGTTAAGTGATCTTGCCCTTTACAAGAGTTATATCGTTATGGTATTTGATTAAACAAAAAAGTAATATTGGTGTTTAATACTTGAACGTAAAGAAAGATCCACAAATTTTGTATAGTTTGCGTTGGAGTGAAATTTTTATGATCTATGTTCTTTCTGGTTTATTAAAATACAAGTTATTAGGTCTTAAGTAGTGCTAATTTTATTTTACACTGTTTACCTAGTAATTTATTTTATTCGGCATTTTCATTCCACGACATTTATTTGTTGCAAATATTAAAAAGAAAAAAATACAACACCACATCAGTTAATTTGTTAAATAATGTTTCAAAGAAATTAACAAATTACCATATGAATTTTTACGTAAATCACTGACGTAGTGTATTGTTTTTTTCCAGTGGGCGAAATACCCGGTCCCAATGAGAGACGCAGAGCAGCAAGCAGGGAGGAATTAAATCGACCGCTTCAATCGCACACAAGAACAGTATCAAGGAGCGTGAGTGTTCTCGCGCCCTGGAAGCCCAGGCATTACAGGGAACCTTTTGAAATAAATTACGATCAACAAATGCATCCGAAACCAATGGCGACCATGAGGCGCAGACAAAGAAGTCGCGAAACGCTTAGTCGTCGGGGAAAAGATGCGCGACGAAGCAAAGACAATCTATCGAAAACCGGTAAAAATCAATTGAACAAATATCTATATGAAATGTACACAAAAGATTCATAAAAAAATCAGTGTACCAATTTTTATTCACAATGTACAATTTTATGAAACAATTTCAACGTAAAGTTTTGACAAATATGAAATTTCATTCCACAGTAAATATACGGTTTAAGGGAGTAATTGATCATTTTTGTAGACATATAATTGTTTATGAAATATTAAAAAAAAAATTGTGTAAAGGTGTAAAAAAAAATCATTTACAGCACTGTTTGTAATGCGAAAAATGTCTTCGAGTGATTGTTCGATTTTTGAAAAATTGGGAAAAAAAAATTTTAAGAAACGTCAACTAATAATATTTTTTATGAATTTTTTACGCACTTCTCATGCTTAAAAAATCATATATTAGAATAATTAATTAATATCGAATGATTATTCTTGCAGGCACGATCAATCGCAGTACGCTGAAATCGAAGGACAAGCAGAAGGTGGATAGAACCGTTTCCACAGAATCGTTGGCCACCAAGTCACGAGGCGTTAACTCAAAACCAGAACTCAGCAGGTCCACATCAGTTCCACGTGATCCGAATAAGAGTGCGGGATGGTTCAAGCTGAAAAGCAAGAAATCTCGGGCTTGAAGGGGAGGCCATTGATCAATGCTAGTCTTGAGTTTCATAAGTAATTCGTAATCGTAAGGGATTAACGATAACACACACACATACGTTGATCCGCCGCCGTTGTTCGCGGTGAATATAATTGTAAACCAATTATTATTACCATTTTATGTTTTCTCTTTTTTCCAATGTACAATGCAATCTCCGTGTCGGACACACAAACGAATTAATACTTCATGAAATAATTTTTATTAACCGAATAAATGATGTTGAAAAGTTTGTTTCTTTTCTTGTTTTTTTATTTTTTTTTTTTAATGCGTAATCATTGTATAACTATGATTAATGTAAATTTAATTGCGATGTCAATTTTGTGAACCACATTGCGCTTTACCACATTTTTGTAAACGAATTATATAGCCACATGCGGATTCGTAAGGAAAATGTAATATTATCTGAATATGTAGACACGTTGTTAAAAACACCACTCTTCAGTTGTTTCATTAATTGACACACTTATCCTTTTGTCGTCGCGTGGCGACGAACGAGTTTAAACCACCAACAGGAGAAGATCAACAAAAAAAGTACCATTAGAATGTAAAACCTTATGTAAAGCACTAATTTTTCGTTTCAATGGGACTTTCGAAGACTTTATAAATAGAGCCTTCTCTCTACCAAATTTAACAAATTAAATTTGTTGTGTAAGATGAGAATGCATTCAAAATAATACATCACTACTTTTACACTCGTAACGAACGTGTTACTCATTTAATATATTCGTAATTACATCCCAGTAAAAAGATATATCATAAATGTGTTAATGGTCATCGTGGAAATTGCGAATGCAAAGCGTGTGGTTTATAAAAACGGAAGAAATTAATTTCATTTCACCGTGAATCAGAGTGCCATTTCCGTTTTACTAAGTATGTACACATTGTCCCAAGTAAAATCAAAATTTCTGAACGATCAAGATATATCTTAATCTATAGAATATAAAAGGTAATACGTTTTAAGATAAACGGCAGGAAATAGCGCGAGAAGAAAATGATATTTATCAAATTGTGCGTTACAACGATTATCACCATTGTTGTTGTACCTACAAAAGGATAATTAGCATTTATATGTATAATTTCTAAATGTTTATTGTGCATAGGTCAAGTCGATCTTACTTACATACACTAATTGTAAATATTTGTAATAATAATCTTTATTTCTAACTATCTTCATATTGCTTTATTGTGTTTCCACTTAATCTTTTTTGTCGACTACCGATAACTGCAGTCTACAATTTTTAAAATGAATCGTGAGAATAAAACTTGATACTAACAGTAAAAACGGATCTCGTGAGTAAATGAATAAAATTTGATCTGTTTTACTGTGATACGCTACCACATCATTTTCATAAATATATAAATTTTGTGCGACGATGTGAATTAAATAATCCGTCTTCGACATTCACTTCTATTTGGTGCTGTTTATGTTACGTGTATATATGGACGATTATAGTTCGTATGTAAATACCACGGATATATCAACACTTTGTATTGTTCCATTGATAAATTTATATTATCTATTAACATAGTTATTAATCTTTTCATAAATGTAAGAAAAAAAATGTTAAGTGCCCAAAAGCTAAAGTCCCAGAATGAATTATATTTTGTAACAGTTATTAATTCGAAATAAATAAATAAGCATAATACCAATTATTTTCAATACTAATAAAAAGTCACAGTGTTGTATGTTTCATGTATTTCGTAATAGCATGCAATTATTACTACTTAACAGTCATTAAATATAAACTTCTCATATGTGTAACTAATTCTTTATTCTCTTTAACACATCACAACAAAAAATTCTATAAAAATCTAATTGAGTAATATTAATAAGTGACAAAATTGTAGTATCCTAAAATTGAAAAACTATTAAAATATTATATTATTAAAAATACTGACATACTAAATGAAATTAAAAGAGTATAGTGTTGTCTATTTTATCCCAGCAGCAAAGAACTGTTCCAATCATAATTAATACCATCCCAATGTATGTGTCTGAAAATTAAAGTAATCCACATAATTTCTAAAGGATATAATACATATTCAGAATACCAACAGTATACCAACTTCTATGTATTTTTTCTTCACCCAAGATCCAACCAGTTATTGCAGTTATCACAAAGGTAAGAGAATTAGTAACTGGGACAGCCAACGATATGTCTGTATTACTTAGAATTAAAAAGTATAATACAGAACCACTTTGGTTGATAATAAATGGTATAATATACTA